CTTCGTGTTTTGGGGAGGAGCCCCCGGAGCGGCTCCCTCCGAGGGCTCCCGAGGAAGAGCCTGCTGACCACGCCGCTCATGACTGAATTTTTAATGCGGTCATCAAAGTTGATAAACTTGAAACGTCATATTCTGTAACCAGTGCCCCTGAACTAAAGTTGCAGCCGGGTGTTACTAAGCTTTTACTTTTTTTTTTCTTTTTTCAGTGATCCTATGAATTCCAAAATGAAACAAAGCACAGAAAAATCATCAGGATCTCTGCAGGTATAGGCTTTAAAGTCTTGAAGTTTGAATATGGGAGCAGATAAGGGGTGGAAAACAGAAAATGAAATTTACCGGGAGCCTGTCAAACACAGAATTTGCTTTGTTCTGAGGTTTGTGCTCCATTCTCTGGGAAACGGTCCCTCTGTCTGACACCAGTTTTATATCTGCTGAAGGAATACAAAGGGATCTGTTGCAATGTGCTTCCACCTGGCCTACGTCCTGTTGGCTTCAGTAACCTCCTGGCAGGCAGTGTGGCTTGGGAACACTCTGTCCTGCTTGGGCATATGTGTTTATGAATACTTATGAATACTCATATTGCTCAGCCAGTCTTTTTTTACGGTGATGCTAAGCTTGTTGTCTTTTTCGTGTGACTTTTTTTTAAGGTGCTGGCTGCCTGCCTTAGTTTGGTTACTGAATCAGTCTGGCTGCTGAGAGGTTGTAGAGTAGGTTCTGTAGTCTGGCCTTTACGGCGATGAACTTACTAAGAGTTAAATCTTTCTTGACTTGAGCGTGCTTTAACTGAAGTATTCATGCAGGCGGTTCTGTTTCTACAGTTGCCCTCATGAACCATAGTTGCCTTAGAATTAGTGGAAATGCTTAAAAAGATTTAGGTTTTTAAGAAGTGACTGGTAAGCTACTAAAGTTTATACCTATTCCAGTCTTGTTACAATACACTTTTGTTAAACCTTTTAATGTAGGCCCCAATCAGAATTGTACAAACACCATATAAAATGGAGGCTAGTAGCCTTTATCACAAGGGATAGAACAATTGTAATGAAAATTTCTGGTATTAATGAAAACTGCCAATTGATAATTCTGACTTATACACATCGTAAAAGAATACCTATATTCTATAAATAATATATACTATACCTCAGTATGGCTTTTTGCACTTTCAATGGGTTAACTCAAGTATTAGTCAATAATTTCTTGGCAGAGTATACTTAACTCTAACCTTCAGTAGCAGCAAGCCGTATCTGACACACGGTGTGATTCTTGTTCCCACAGCAGTTAGTGTTTGTCCTTGAGTTCAACAGTAGGATAATTGGTGGCAGAAACTACCGTGGGAAAGGTGGACTCTTGTCATATGAAGTACAGTGTGAATCAGTAACTTTCTCACGCTGGTGTGGCATTGTATTCTGGCTATTCTTGCTTGGTTGTCTGCCCTTGTTTGCTATCCCATGGTGGCAGTGTAACCAACCCAATCGGAAAGCTTTAATGCAGGAAATGGGTATTTATGCATGACAAGAAAGGTGATATACATACTGTTTATACAAAACAATAGCCTGTCTGGATTGAAGCAAGCAGCTTTAGATCCATTAATTGAAACATGTCTGTTTTAACTCAACACCACTTGAAGGTGTGTTCACAAGTAACAAAACTGGGTGCCACCTGAAGTGATGTGTGTGACTTTACCACATAAACTTGCAATTGCAGTCACTTGTATCGCTGTCCCCCAAAGTCTAATACTGCTGTTGTCAAATACAACTTTGAGAGCTTCAGCTAAAGTTTACAGGCAAAGTTCACTGCACTGTAACTGACCTTGAAATCTAGTCAATATTTCTTCTATAAGACCCTTTATGAAGGGTAAGGGTTTTCTAAGAGGTGGGGACTGAGCATAGATCCATCTCTCCTACAAATAACTAGATTCCCTTCTTTACACAAGCCTTAACATAGACTAAAATATCATCTTTTTCTTTTGAAAAGATGAACCATGGCTTATCTTAATGGAAGCATGACAAATTCCTAAGTTTCAGTTTATGTAGGGAAGAGTGGCAACTATCTGAAGCCATGTTTGTCTTTTTAGAAGTACCTCACAGACACCACATGTCGTGCTGCCCCAAGACGGACTCTTAAAATGATTCAGCCTTCAGCAGCAGGTTGCCTGGTTGGCAGACGTAATGAGGTATGAACTAAAAGATAACCTGTGATGTCTAATTCTTTCTACTTGTACTGAAATGCTTTTGAGCTTGTAACTGAAAATTCATATATTTGGAAAAACATATAATCTGCTAATTAGTGACACAACTTAAGCTTACTATTATTTTAGAAACAGACAATACTGAAAACTATTCTGAGTGCTTCAGGAAAATGTTTGAGATTTTTCTTTTTTTAAACCTATGGGTATCAAGGAAGATGTCTGTAAACTAGAACTATAGTGTGCAGAAAGCAGGGCTTATAAGTACTTGTAGTCAAGAGCAAGCAGACTTACAAACTTGTATTTCTAAAAAAGCTGAAATGTTGCTCTGAAGTTAAGCCTACCTGTGTCTTATGCAGAAGAAATCTTCAGTCAGAAGGAAACTCTGGAATAACAAGTTCACCTCAAAAGCTTGTAAAGCTGAGGTGTCTGCAGACAAGGAGCAAGAAAATGAGAATCTGAATGATGTCGTTCAAGCTGTAGATCTCATGATAAAAGGTATGTGGTAATTCCTGAAGTGTTTTCTTGCACTTAAAATGCTATGCTTCCATCAGAGGTAACTTGAAGTATTGTTCCTTTGTCGGTTAGATAAGGGCTTTGGGTTTTTTGTAATACATAGCAGGAATTAATGATACTTATCCTCCATAGTATAGTAAATACAGTACAGATACCTGATGTTTAAGAATGTCAGTTACTGGTTACTATAAACTCGACCACTGTGTGCAGCACTATTAAGTCCTGTAGTTTGTTACTTTGGCTTGGCTACAAGCTTTCAAGTGACTAATAACTAAGTTGAAATGGAAGCCTGTTTTGGCATAGTGTGCTACATGTGCAGTTTCTCAGAATGATTAAGCCTAATACGGACATTGACTTGTGAATAAGATGTCTGTCTGCCACAAAGTACGTGTTAAGACTGACATTTGCAAATGTGACCATCTTGCAAAGCCTGCTGCTGTGCTTGAGGCAGCTTCTTGAAGACTCCTGGCCTGTGTAGCCATTAATACAGCGTAGGATCTCTGTTTTCTCTAAGCTTATGTCTCTAGTTGTAAACTTACAGCTAATCTCTGTGGAAAACACTATGTGGAGTGAGTTCTTACTCTCACAGTTTATAGAACAGCTGTATACAAGTTAGATATCTTGAGGTGATATCAAGAATTCGGTCTTAGCATAGGCTTACTGTAGCTTCTTATTTCAGGAAGTCCTTCATCTCAATATTGGAAAGAAGTGGCTGAAGAAAGGAGGAAGGCTCTGTATGAAGTGCTTCAAGAAAATGAAAAGGTAGGTAGTAAAAGGTAACTTCTTTACCACTGGCTATTGTGTTCCTGTTCTAACGTTTTGTCATTTCAACTCAGTTGCACAAAGAAATCGAACAGAAAGATGGTGAAATTGCCCGCCTGAAAGAAGAAAATGAAGAGCTCATGTCCCTTGCTGAACATGTGCATTATATGACCAGCATGATTGAGGTACTTAAAGGAATTTTCAGTTAATGTTATACAATGAAAAAGTGAGAAACTAGCAAGGATGTGTTTAATAAATTATGACTTCTGCTTTGTGGGCTCACACCACAACTCTTAGTTTTAAATTACTGTCTGACTTGTTTCCTGCATGATTGCTCTAATCCAGAGGCATAAAGCCCCTTTTAGGGGATGAGGTTTTTCCAGTTTAGAACCCACAGGATTAATGAGAGTACAGAGTGTGATGTTTTCTGAGGGGGAGATTCAACCTACTGTCTTAACAGCATAGGCTTTGCATGTTAGAGATAGTGACAAGGGCAGGAAGGGTTCACTTTTGCTTCTCTGAGATGACTTAAATTGAAATGCTTAATAGATTGAGGCTGCTGGCTAAATAAAGTGGGTTTTACTAGTTGTGTCCTTTGAGGAACTGAACTTGAAACAGGAACACATAAAGTGGAGCAGTGAGAGGGAGAAGGGAGCACCTATGCTTTTTAGGGTCAAGGTTTCACTGAGGAATTGCCAGTTTCATGGCCCAGAAAGGGCTAATGCACACAGTCTGTAGGGTTCATACACTTGTAAATTTCATAACAGCTTTTTCTGAGAAGTCCTTGGGAACAGCTAGTTGTGTCACTGATCTACCAGGAGCAGATTGTCTGTAACAGCCTCTGAAGTTGTGATAAATATACAGCCATGGAACCTTGATGCTGAAATTGCTGCTAGGTTGTTTTTGTATGGATTGAGCTCTTAGCTGGGCTATGAAGCTGGGTTCCTAGCAAACACTTTGAGTCTCTGATTAGACTGGGGAGGTGGAACCAAAATGGAATATTATTGCAAGCATCTTGATTAATCAAGAAGCAAACTTGATCAAGTTAATTTTCAGTTAGTGCAACTATTTAGATCAGTCTTGAAAGACTCCCATAGTTTGTTATGCTTGATATTTTTTTTTGGTATTCAGGGAGTGCTGCCTTGTTAGTGATAAACCCACAGGCAGAAACTAAATGACTTCAGGACTTAAAGAACTAATGTAGTTGGAAACTTCTCTGCAGTTCCTCAACAAGTTAATAAGTGAACTTAACTTGTAAGGTGCTCGCTTCTGAGGCTTTAATGAGCCTTAACTGATACATCAAATAAACAGAAGCCTCAAAAGTAGCCTCTTAAAATCTTGTTTTTCTTCCTTAGATTTAGGTGAGGAACTTTTAGTTTAATTATCAAATGCTAGAAACTGCTGGGTCTTCTAGACTAGATGACATTCTAGTCATCTAGAGTTAATGTAGCTTCATTATCTCTGATTAAAAATTGTGATCTTAATCTGTTGTATAGTAATTTTTCTAAAATTAAACCTATATGGCACTATAGTAATATTTAACTTGAAGCTGTTTCCCGTATTTTAGGTTGCTTAAGATAAAACCTGTCCTACTGAAGAACCTAATGAAGAACTAACAAAGCAGATGTGGTCTGTGAGCTAGAGGTGGCAATTCTGAGTGGAACTTGAGTGTCTAAGATTTTTGTGACTGAGGAATGTTTTAATTGTATCAACAGTCTCCAAATGAAGACAATTAGTTTGCTTAATTTGATATGCCCAGTCTTATTTCACTGGCTATTAAGTAGAAAAAGTATTAAGTTCACTGTCTTCTGTCTCTTTCTAGGGGCTAACTGGGCAAGCACCTGACAGTCTTGAGACACTGAAGAGTCTGGCTCTAGAGGAATCCAGACAAGAAAATGAAGAGCTTAACTGTGGAGATGATGCAGACAGCACTTCTGAAGAAGGCCCATCACAAGTATCATGTGGCTTAGGGGAGAGTGTATCAGATCTTGCTTCAAAGGAAGCAAATAATTTGCAACTGGAATGACAACCTTTTAAATGGGCTTATGTCTGTGGCTTTTAATTGCAGACTTCCTCTTGAAAGGATATACTAAAACTTCTCAGGTATAGAAACTTGTGGAAGTGTTACAGATGTTTTTTAACTGGAATTATGTAGCAGTGGGGGTATCTGGATACTGTGTAGAAAACTTACTACAGGCTGCACTTAATTACTTGTATAAAATGCAAATACTGTGTATTTCAAACTGTGGTGTAAATATCTTTATCAGTTGGTCTGACATGATACATGAAAATTGATGAATAAATCTTTACCTTCCCAAAGAAGCCTCTTATTTGAGTGGGGAATGGCTGGTTCTAGGTTTAAGTCAATTGTGACTACTGTAGACTAGAAGCTTTTGAGTTTTTCAGCGAGTGCCTTTTAAGGCAGTTTTTAACTCCTTAGATTTCCAGAATTCTAGAGAACAGAGTGGTTTTGGTGGATAGGGAAAGTAAAATAAAACTTGTGTGCTGTTGGTGAAGCTTCAGAAAGTCAAGAATGGGTAATAAGAGTCAAGATCTAAAGTTTAGTTAGACTTGTGCTTTTGGGGGGTTCTATAAATTGCCTGTCTTTTAAGAGAGCCTTTTCCAAGATGTATAGCTGAGAGCTTAAGTAGGAAGTATGAGACTATCTCTTTTAGAAATACATTTATTGGCTTATAAAGAAAGGGCAGAGTGTTCTTTCTCCTACCAGCAGCTGTACTGAAAATTACATGGAGACAAAGCAGCCTGCACTTCAGAGCAGAAATTCAAGGTCTGTTTTCAAAGTACTGCTCTGGTATTTACTGAGAGATGAGGCACCTTGTTACCAAGATAGGTAATGTTCTGAAGGGTTTCCAGGAATAAGAAGCACTCTTTAAAACTTCGACCACCATGTCTGGCATCTGTGCAGGGTGGTGGTGGGGAAATGCTTGCAGTTGAAAGCACTGAGGTAGAAGGGGAAAGGAGAGTTAAGTACAGGTTTTCCAGTCCTGAGTGAACTCGGCAGTTATTCTGTAAGTAACTATCTTCCAGGATGGCTTTAAAAGGGTAGGCTTTAAAAGATGGTGCCCACTGCAATATCTTTTGAAGAGCTTAAAGTTGAATGGCTTTCAGGAGGCAGAGATAATTGGAGGGATTCTGGTTTATGGATCTATCAGCCCTTGCCAAAATGGGTGCTTCCAGGGTATGTGTGGAGCTATCAGGTTGGAACTTTAGATTCCTTCCATATCTTATTCTTTCTCTCTGTGGGTGTCACTAAGTTAACAGATGTTTCACAACTGATTTCAGCTGTGACATTCAGGGAATGGCAGAACCTTTGAAGGAAGTAATACTCCTGGCTCTCATTTCACCTTGAATCTGGTAACCACAAGGTGAGTCATCGTGTTTCCTGGGAATTTTGTAAACAAAGGATTACACCTTCCAATTTGTCTAAGCACCCTTTAGAGCATGTAATTCTTCCCATCACAGTGCAGAAATGGTGATGAAGGTGTGTCCTTTAACTTGCACTGATGCTGTGTTTAAGGAAAAACAAACAACTGGATGGTGGATAACTGCTTTGTAGAGTAACCGTGATTTTCTGTTCAAAAGAAATAGATAATACTGTCAAGTGACAAACCTTTCCTATCTCGGGTTCTAAACGATTTTCATGTCAAAGTACTTCAACAATAGTAGAAGAGGAAACACAAAATTTAACTTGTTACAATCCTTATGCAGTGTAATTTAGTTAAGTTATTCATAGTCATTCTTGAAAGGTGGCTTTGTTTTTAAACATCAGGTGTATTTTGCATTTGCAGAGAGTGTAGAAGGGAAGAAAGCACTGTTGTGTAATTAGCTGGCCAGGCAGACCAATCCACCTGAGACAGCAAGTGCAACTTCTTTTCTGCCACTTTACCTCCTGTTCTGTGAACTGCTGTGATAGAGGTGCTGTTGTTAGAACAAAGAACTGCCAGAAAGTAACAAATCTGGAATTTGTGTGCATTCATAGAATCATAGAATCACTTTGGTTGGAAAAGACCTTTAAGATTATCGAGTCCAACCTTTAACCTACCCCTGCCATCCCACCACTAAACCATGTCCCTAAGCACCTCATCTATCCTTCTTTTAAATACCT